ATTTTTTTTTAAAGAAAGAAATATCTGAAACAGTAATTACTGAGAATTTTACAAATTAATGTCAGACACCATACCACAAATATGGGAAGCTTTCTTATTTTGAAAGAAGCCAGAAGAAAAATGCACCTTACCTGCAGAGGAGCAGAAGATTCAACTTCTTCTCAGAAACCATGCAAGCAAGAAGAGAGTGGAGTGGAATATTTAAAAATATTTATTTAAAGTGTTGAGAGAAACACCTTACCTTATTAAGAACATGAACTCAGATAGCTCGAGGGGTCTAGACTAAGAGAGCCTTTGAATGACTGAGTTCCACCTGTCAGTCTAACTCAAGTCTCAGATTCCCAGCAGGGTCGGATTTGCCCAACATGCGTGATCATCCCACATGTGGCTGATGGCACAAGGCACTTTGATTAACCAAATGCTGGCAGCACCTGCCACCCCACTTGCCGGTCGTCACTACCACAGCACCATGTTTCCACCCATACCCCAGCCCTAGAGGCTGTGGAGCAGCATATTAAGGACCACTGTACTGCATGATTCCTAAAGCTATTTCCATTTAAAACAATCAGATACATTTCCGTTGCTGAGCAAAAGATTTGCCATTCTTTTTTTTTTTTTTTTTTGTTTTTGTTTTTGTTTTTTCTTTGAGCCAGTCTGGCTCCGTCACCCAGGCCGGAGTGTGCAGTGCAGCGGTGCTGTCACAGCTCACAGAAGCCTCGAACTCCTAGGCGCGAGCCGCCCTCCTGCTTCAGCCTCCGCAGCATCTAGTACTACAGGCACCTACCGTCACGCATGGCTCAGCTGTACATTATTCTGTAGAGATAAGGTCTTGTGTGTTGCCCAGGCTGCTCTCAAACTCCTGGCCTCAGGTGATGCTCCTGCCTCCGCCTGCCAGAGTTCTGGGATTATAGGCATGAGCCACGGTTCTAGGCCTGCAATTTTGTTTGAGTAAAATGTCTGTCTCTTACTTTGATCAGAAAGTTCTTCGTTTTTCTGTTCCCAAATATCTAAACTGATCTGCATATAGTGCCATATGAAATAGGTAAGAAATTCATCAGTTTGTTTCTTCTGTTTATTTCTTCTTCTTCTTCTTCTTTTTTTTTTTTTTTTTTTGAAACACAGTCTTGCTCTGTCTTCCAGGCTGGAGTGCAATGGTGCAATCTTGGCTCACTGCAACCTCCACCTCCTGGGTTCAAGGGATTCTCCTACCTAAACGTCCTCAGTAGCTGGGATTACAGGCTCCTGCTACCACGCCCAGCTAATTTTTGTTATTTTCAGTAGAGACGGGGTTTCACCATGTTGGCTAGGCTGGTCTCAAACTCCTGACCTCAGGTAATCCTCCTCGGCCTCCCAAAGTGCAGGGATTACCGGTGTGAGCCACCATGCCCTGCCTCTTCAGTTTTATTTCTTTAAGGACACAGACTTCAGAGCCAGACCCTGGGTTCAAATTCCACAATCATAGCTCTGCTGTTTACTAGCAGTTACTTCATTTCAGTTTTTACATAATCTTACTTTGGGCAATTATATAATCTCTCAGTGCCTCTGTAAAATGGAGATGGTAATAGTACCCATTTCATAGCGTTGCTGTGATGATTAAATTAGTATGAATAAAGCATTTAATATGCTGCCAAGATCATTGGTATAAATGTATATAAGTATAAGCTGTTACATTTATAAAATGAGATACTACTAATTAAATTTCACACAGGCAACATAAAAATACCTAAAAATTTTTTTGGTTGGGAGTTACCTCTTAAAAATTAAATTACTGGCCAGGCATGGTGGCTCATGCCTGTAATCCCAGCATTTTGGGAGGCTGAGGCAGGTACATCACTTGAGGTCAGGAGATTGAGTCCAGCCTGGCCAACATGGTGAAACCCTGTGTCTCTACTAAAAATACAGAAATTAGCCGGACATGGTAGCATGTGCATGTAATCCCAGCTACTTGGGAGGCTGAGGCAGGAGAATTGCTTGAACCCAGGAGGTGGCAGTTGCAGTGAGCCTAGATTACTCCCCTGTACTTCAGCCTGGGCGATAGAGTGAGACTCTGTCTAAAAATAAATCAATAACGTTAAAATTAAAGTTAAACAACTTCATCTGGAGAAGCATTCTGCTGTGGCATTTAGCTTAGAACTGTACTGTGAGGAATACCAGTGAATTATTCATTCCTTAATTCAGTATTTTTTGAGTGCTTGCCAGGCATATGCTATATTCTAGGAAGACAGGGAATTTACACACTAGTAAAGAAAGTGGTAACTAAGTGAACAAATAAAGCCCAGGATAATTGTTGATGTGGTAAGAGCTGTGAAGGAATCAGCAGAAAGGCCTGGGAGGATTTGTTGTGAGCATGAAGCAGATGAGAGGCCTGGGCTGGACTGTGGTGAGCTGTGGAGAGAGGGAACAAAAGCTGTCAGAGAGGGTGCTGGAACCATGTTCTGTGGGGCCTTCAAAACTCCAGCAAGCCGCTGGGAATATACAGGGAGTTTGAATTTCTTTTCAAGGAAGCCGTGGAGAGGGGTTTTACCCAGGGGAGTGTGCTGCTCTCCCAGCACGTTTACATTTGGTAAAGTTGCTTCTGTCTACTGCATAGAGCATGAATGGGGGAGGGGCAAGCCCATCCTGGCAGTAGACAAGTGCAACACTCCAGGGCTAGGCTGAGTGGCGGCAGGGAGGTGGAAGGAGTGTGTGCAGTCAAGTCAGATCACACACATTTATTTTGGCGATCGACTTGACAGTGGCGATGATGGCTTGGACAAGGAAGACAGTGAGGAAGCAGGGACGTTACCTAGATTTTTGCCTAAGTGCCATTTTGACAGTAAGCATTATATTCCCTCCATTATTAAACTTTTTTTCATTTTGACATGATCCTTCCCTCTAGGGAAAAGACCCTGTAAGTGCTGAGGCAGGAGCCAAAAGCCTCAGCCTATTTCCATATAAATAATGAAGAAGAAAGTAACAAGAAATACAGTCTTAGTTCATCATAGGTGATCTTAATTCTTTTACTAATGCCTCTCAGATCGGAAGTGTGAACATGGGGTGACACTGTGAAAAAAATGACACTTAGGCGAGACGCTTCAAGCCCTCTGTCACGCCTGCATAAGGGCTGCTGGGGGGCACCGTGGCTGTGCGGCAGCGCCAGCACTGGGAAGTGCCCACTGTTTAGCCAGCTAGGGAAGGAGGTGTCCAGAATAGCCGTCTCCTTCCCCCGAGGAGCTAGGAAGAAACTTCACTTCTCCAAGCTCTTGCGGTAAGGCCTGACGGCTGTCAGGTACACCTACAGACTTCTGGGGGCCCGATTGTCTCTATGCGATGCTGTGCTTTGGTGGTCAGGTTCCATGTCTACTCTCATGTTAGGCTTCTGCACCTGGTTTCTTTTTTCTTAGAAAGGATAATCAGTAATAGTAATATAAATCTTAATGTTTTTGTTCTTTCTTGATAAGTATGGAAAAAGTGCTGATGCATTCATTAGGCTCCTTACTCACTTCGGGTGCCAGAAATTCCTAGCCCCTACCTGAATGACATGTGATGTACTTGACCCTATCACTGCCACACTCTTATCTATTACCCTGTCCCCAGTCTCCGACCACCAAGACTACACTCTACCTACCCTGCCCCCAGATTTGCAACCCAATTAAAGTGAGAGCATCCAGGCATTTGGGGCCACTGCTGGTCTCCTCGATTTGGGTAGCAGTGGACTCCTGGGCCCAAACTCTCTTTTCTTGATCTCGGTGTCTTGTGTCTTTTATTTCAGCAATTTCTTGTCTCTGCACCAGCCGGGAGGGGCTCACAGAACCCTGTAGGGCTGGCTGGACCCTACACTTCCCTAAACTGTAAATGTTCTAGTATGTGTGCTGCCCAAGTGAACATAAAAACTGCACATTTTTGGGTATTTTAAAACTTTAATTTTCCCAGTCTAGATTTTTTTGCATTGCAGCCAAATTGTACAGGGGTCTTAAATTTCTTCTGGTTTTCTTGTTTGGTAATGGGAACCTCCTTTGTTGATATTTTGGATATTTAATTGGGAGCATTTCACCTGTTAATTATGGCTGTTGAGGATTTAAACTTGCATTATTTACCACCAGTCTTTTGAAATTAGATTGCTGAATATCCTCCCTGTACTGGAGAGTGTCAGAGCCTGTGAAGGCCTGCACCTGTTGAGAGGCAGCCTTTCCTCCTCTGCAATTCCTGCTTCCAGCTTCCACTGGCGATAGAGGGAGGGGTGTGGGATGGGAGGGGGCACCTGGAGCCACTGAACCAGCTCCATCTGTGTAACTCCATTGTTCTTTTTAGCATGGCCTTCAGGGGTAGGAAGTCAGGCTTATAAGATTTTATCTACTGTCACTTAGAACCAGTATTCCTCCTCAGAAATTGGAATTTATTATTATTTTACTAAAATAGGGCTTCTTGTGAATGAAGTGAGATCAAGTACATAAAGCAATCTTTAGTTAAAAGATTGCTTAATTTGATTAATGTGGAATGAATTATTTTACTTTTTTCTAAGAAATGAGAAACTGGGAAAAAATTCATTAGACTGTAATGCATAGAGATTTTTTTACATCTAAATGAGAAGCCAGAAATTCATATAAAACATAAGAACTTCAAAAACATTTCTTAGGCACAGACTTATTAAACACTCGTGAATGTTTTTGATTTCCTATTACATTAAAATACTCAACTTCATATTCAGAACATTTAAAAATAGCTCAATCTTAAAAAGAAGATATAAAGTATTATCAGCTGTGCTTTTTGTGCATAATTAGCATGTTCCTGTGGAGGTATAATGACTTCTAGTCTAATGATAGTATCATGATAAAAAATTCAGATGGTAAAAATTGGAGCTCCAGCTGGATGACACATTTTATAACAATTCCAAGAAGACTCCAGCATAGAAGTCATGCTGTTTTAGTTCCTTGTAATCCCCTCTTGACCCGTCAATGGGTCATGTAGGCACTGATGAAAGAGCCTTTTAGAAATGTTTCTATTTGTTCCCTTTCTTACAGATTTAATGTATGCCCACTGTTTCCTTCAGTGCTGGACAGGCTTCTGTCAAGGGGACGTCACCTTTTCCCTTTTTCCAAGATGGCTCAAGATTCAGTAGATCTTTCTTGTGATTATCAGTTCTGGATGCAGAAGCTTTCTGTATGGGGTCAGGCTTCCACTTTGGAAACTCAGCAAGACACCTGTCTTCACCTGGCTCAGTTCCAGGAGTTCCTGAGGAAGATGTATGAAGCCTTGAAAGAGATGGTAAGTAGTAGACCAAAATAATGAAATGATTTTCTGACTTCATGGTCTCTGCCAGATTTCACCAGGACAGAATGCCATCCAGAGTTGGGACTTGTGGTATTGACTGAAGTGCCAATGGATTAGGAAGACAAATTACCCAAGAGCTGGTTTCCTAGTCTCTGATTCATTATATTACTATAATTTCTTCTTGAGTAGCTGTATTGTCACATGAGACTTCCTGACCAAGCAAGTTGTTTTTAAATAATCAAGATTTCATGCTTGTTGTCAAGTAGTAAATGGGATTCTTTTAAAGGCCTTTGTGTCCCTTGAATCTTGGAGAATTTGCTACCTGCTTAACCTTTCCTCCGCCCTGTTCTCAAGTGGGGTGTCCTAAAAGATGATAAATATTAAGATTTTTTTATAAATATAATACTTTTTATAAATATTAAGATTTTGAGTATCTTTACTATTATATAATTTGTTATTTTTAAAATTTAATATCTTTTTATGGATGTCATGGTTTTTTATTACATTTTTATGACTTTGCACTTGTTTATATATTATGAACTAGTATTTGCATTTAATTTCAAAATGAAAAGCAAAATTGTCACTTTAAAAAGTGTCCTTGTGTTAAGCTTTTCTTCCCTTAATCAAAGAGCAAATAGGAAATTTGAAGAATAATTTGTATTGATAGTATGTGTCCATATGTCTTTAGAAACTAGAAGGAAGATACAGTCTGTGTGAACAACCAATGCTAATTAAAAAAAATTTTTTTTAATGAGACATATGTAACTGACATTTATGTGGTCCCAGGAAGTCGAGGACCAGCCTTGATGCTGGGACACACGTGAGAGATGTTTTGCTGCCGCAGCAGGAAGTACCCATCGTTTCAGCTTATCTGCACATTAGTTTGCTTTTATTTTTTAACTTTTATGAAAGGGAAGAAGTGGAGAAAGGTCCAGTTGTACAATAATATATGTGTGTTTAAATCTTAAGCTGTTTTCTATTTGGTTGATCCTTTTTTTGTCAGGGTTTAGATTGTTACAGACTAAATATGATGTCATTTACCATACAGTAATCAAAATAGTAATAAACAGAGGTATATACATTTGTGCTTTGGCTGTTTTCATTTCTTTATTCAAGTTCCAGAGTTCTTGTTCTTTTAAACCTTCTTTGAACTCGCCTTAGTAGAGCTGAGTTAGTAACCTCTCTTATGTTAGAATAAAAAACCAGGATGAAGATATAGGATTATGTGGTTATTGATCACCAATATTGTGTTTTCCCTTTCTTTTTTTTGAGATGGAATGTCACTCTGTCACCCAGGCTGAAGTGCAATGGCGAGATCTCGGCTCACTGCAACCTCCTCCTCCCAGGTTCAAGCAGTTCTCCTGCCTCAGTCTCCCAAGTAGCTGGGACTATAGGCACATGCCAGCACGCTCGGCTAATTTTTGTATTTTTAGTAGACATAGGGTTTCACCATATTGGTCAGGCTGGCTGTGAACTCCTGACCTCAGGTGATCCACCTGCCTTGGCCTCCCAAAGTGCTGGAATTACCGGTGTGAGCCATGGTGTTCAGCCCAGTAATGTGTTTTCAACTCTTAAGCAGTCTTTGTTATTTTTAAATAAAGTAGCCTTTCCTGAGTAGAATTAATTTTGCAAGACAATTGATTTTACCTAACTATGTCATACATCTTAGTTTGGTGACTAAGGATGAAGTAAGGTGGTTGGTTGCTTTTTAAGCTTTATTTGAATTACTTAGCTAAAGATCTTCTCTAATTCTTTTTTTGCCACCTTTTAAAAATGGTATACTAAACAAGAAGCATTCAGGCTCCCTCAACCTATATCAGTTCAGTCTTTCTGAGTTGCATAATGCCTTTACTGACCAAAATTTAATTTTCTTTCACAGGATTCTAATACAGTTATTGAAAGATTCCCCACAATTGGTCAACTGTTGGCAAAAGCTTGTTGGAATCCTTTTATTTTAGCATATGGTAAGAATCCAAAACGAATCCTCTCAAAATGGCTATTTAATCTTTGCATTGTTTCACAGAGGCTTAGATTATGAACCTTTCTTTTATTATTTCTTTTTCTGGAACAGCTTATCAACTGTATTGACTGTTCCATTGCAAAGATGGCTTCCTATACTGTTGTTCATGTCTGTTTGTGTAGGTCTGTATAGACACACACACACACACACACACACACACACACACCCAGTGCAGATCTTTAGGAAAACAGAGCTCTTTGTATTAGAGGACAGAAATTCCTAAATGATTTCGATATCTATTTTCGCCTGTAATCACTTTCATAACTTCATTTTAAATTCAGTATAAAATGGCTATACTGATGATACCAGGTTACTTTTGTTTCACAGTTTTATAACAACTCACACTGTTTCCCACGTTGTAAAGTCATACTTCAGAATCTGAATCCTACCCTGACTTTGCCTTTGCCTTTGGCTGCTTTGACTTTATTTAGGGGTGCCATTTTGGTTTTATTTAAGGTTGAGAGGAATTTGGGGGCACTTTGGGGAGATATCCTTCATTGAGCTCCTGCTTGCTGTCTGGTTTCATTTCCTTTTTCATCTTCTACAGCTATACCTCATGGTAGTAGCTGGGTCCTATTACTTACTAACAGTGCTTCAAGGTGCTTTGCATCAGGATTTCTTTTACACTCATTCTCCTTTGCAGTAGCCTTACTGAGCTGAGTTACGAACTGCTGGGAGTGTCTCCATGACCTCTAGCATCTTCCTTTAATACACTTACTTCACTCTCTGATGCTCTGGAAGACAGCATGCCTCTCGAGAACAGGAACTGTGGTTTTAGTTCTCTTTGTCATCCTAGGGCCTCCCAAGGAACATGGCTGAGGTTTGCCTTGGATGGACGTATTATTAGCTAATGTAGTATTTACTTTTTAGATTTTTTAAAGTCAAAGGCTAATTGCATAATATAATGACATTAGAACCCCAAATAAAATGAATATTCCCCTTTGATGTTTTAAAGAATCATACAGTTTCCCATTTCTAGGCTGTCATAGTAATTACTGGAAGAGATGTGAACTAGGCAGGAAAGGGACAACATGTGTGTGTTTAGTCCTGTGAACATGTGTGCATGGACACCCGCACACTCAGCCTCGCTCACTGCACCCCACCCTCATCTGTCCTTCCTTCTTCCCACTTACATCTCTTCCCCCAACCCCTAAACTTGTTCAAATTCTTGATTCAAAATGACAAAACTAGTGAGTCAGCAGCGTGTTTGCCCACTAGGGCTACGCTTACCTGTCCTAGGTTTATCTGTTGCAGTTAGGTCAGTGTTTCTCAAACATCTTTGACCAGAAATACATTATGTATGTGTGTATGTGTGTATATGCATATGCGCATGGATGTGTGTGTGTGTGTGCGCGCGCGCACACACACACACACACACACACTAAAACACATCTCATGAAAGAATGCATACAATAGCCCCCCCCTTTGACTCTTTGCAGTTTCAGTTATCCACAGTATAGAACAATAAGATTTTATGAGAGAGATCACATTTATATAACTTTTCCTTTTCTTTTTTTTTTTTGGCGGCGGGGACAGTTTTGCATTTTTTGCCTAGGCTGGAGTGCAATAGCGTAGTCTGGGCCCACTGCAACCTCCACCTCCCAGGTTCAAGCAATTCCCCTGCTTCAGTCTCCCAAGTAGCTGGGATTACCGGTGCCTGCCACCACACCCAGCTAATTTTTGGATTTTTAATTGAGATGGGGGTTTCACTATGTTGGCCATGTTGGTCTCGAACTCCTGACCTCAGGTGATTCGCCCACCTCAGCCTCCCAAAGTGCTGGGATTACCGGTGTGAGCCACCTCACCTCATTTAAGGGATTAACAAGACAACAATGCAATAAATCAACTATAACAATATTGTTAACATAAACATGGGGAGGTTTACGTGTGAGAGGCATTGCTTACTTTGCGCTGGGCACTGTTCTCTGTGGACTACATAATGGACCTAATTGAATTCTTGTTGACAGTGTTGTGGGATAGAAAATTGTGGATTAGAGTCAGTAAGTCGCTTTCCCTAGAATATAACACTAATAAGAGCCAGAACCTCACTTCTAATGTGACTTGAAAGTCCACCTTGTTGTAATGTTCTGACTCCATTGGATCACATCCTGTGATGGTAGTATTCCAGTACTGGCATTCCCACTAGCCAGTTTCACTTGTGTGTACATAATCATTCAGCAGGTATTTACCAAATGGTTTTATTTATTTATTTTGAGACAGAGTCTTGTTCTGTCACCCAGGCTGGAGTGCAGTGGCATGATCTTGGCTCATTATGACCTCCACCTCCTGGGTTCAAGCGATTCTCCTGCCTCCCACTCCTGAGTAGCTGGGATTACAGGTGCTTGCCGCCACGCCCAGCTAGTTTTTTGTATTTTTAGTAGAGGTGGGGTTGTGTTAGCCAGAATGGTCTCTGTCACCTGACTTTGTGATCTGCCTGCCTTGGCCTCCCAAAGTGCTGGGATTATAGGTGTGAGCCACTGCACCCGGCCTACCAAGTGTTTCTGTGTGTGTGTGTGTGCGCGCCAGTCCTTAGGAAAACGTGGCTCACTGTCTTTACCCATTGTGACCTTCCAGTCAGGGAAAAGAGATACCTAAGCAGGTCAGCCTCACTCAATGTGATTGTTTTCTGAATGGAAGTAGCAGTTCCTGAGAGGAAAGAGGGTTTCTCAGGAGAGTCCCTACTGGGACTGACTTGAAGATGTGATTCTCTAAGACAGGGCAGCTGAACTCGTGGGATCTCATATTCCTTTTTTCTTTTTGTGAAAGTAGGAGGTCAGATTGATTTGTTTTGGTGTCCTTGAACTCATATCTGTCTGTGATCTTTCCTTAGCACCTTATCAGCATTGGCCTTGACACCCTCTAACAACCAGAAACAAATTCTCCATCCTTTTCTGTCTCAACGCTTGTGTTACCTTTTGAACTGCCCATAAATTTCAGTTTCCTGTTGAGGTTTGTACTGGCTATGAGCTGACAGAGGCGGCTGAACGACATGAAACTCCCACGAGCAGTCACATGTTGCCTGTGTCGCCCCTGTTGTTTCACGGGTTGGGCACTTTATTCCTGGAAGGGATCTTTTCTTATGGTTTTGTAATATCAAAATTGCTTTTTAATTACAGTAAAAGCAAACAATTTTCGTAATGGAAAAAAGTAAGCCATATGTAGTGTTCATGGAGAATAGGATCAGAAAAGGGTAATAAGGAAGTAGGGATGATTTGGAAATAAAAAGATACCAAAAAGAGAAGAGACATAATTGATAATAATGGAAAGCAAGAGAACACCTTTTTATTCGGCAGCGTCCTCAGCATAAAAACACTGCCTTCACCTTCTGAAATTCTGGTCCGTTGCTTCTAACTCTGCCCTCATGATGAAGCGTAACAGCTGTTATCCCTCTTCACTATTCACTCTATTCTGTATAACAAATTTCCGCCAAACTTAGTAGCGTAAAACAGTGAATATTTATTGTCTTAAAAATGTGCTGCCTTCATACTTTTAGAGTATAGAATTAAAGATTAAAGAATTAGTTCAGCTTTTCTGTGGAATTTCAATTCCAGATATAAAAATACAAGGTGGCAAGTGTATGTTAACATCCTTTCCCTTCCACTCATTTTTAGAATACAAATTTACACTAAGATGGGCTGTCAGCCACTGTCCCTGCAGTGAATCCCAGGCAGTTTCCTGTCTCCCTTAACATGCCCTGAGGGATGTTCTAGCCCAAGAACATCCCACAAGGCATGTTAAGGGAGATAGGAAGAACCCTAGATCTTTAGCGCTTAAATTATACAACTCTTGAAATGAACGGATCTCAGGGCCTCCAGGGGAAGCCTGACAGATGCCAGCCTCTGGAGTGAGTGCTAGTGGCACTCATGAATAACAAGCATGGCTCATGTTTGTAAATTGCCTAAGCAAAGCAAGCTGTAAGCTCATTAGCAGTGCATTTCAGTGCATTGACTCTGGGCAAGGAAAGTCAGCTCCTAAAGGTTGGGTGGACGTTTCTCTGGCTTCTCTTTTTTTATTTTTTTGGGAGAAAAATTAAAAAATAATATACTTTTTGAACTTAAGTTTGCATAATCACTCAACACCTGGGGAAACTCCCAGTTTTGGGGATTCTTTTAGATTTAAGTTTCATAAACTGACATTTTCTTTTTTTTTTTTTTTTTTTGGTGGTAAGTGTCTGGTTTTTGGAAATGCTCCCCATCAGATCACGTTCTTTTTAACAACCTGCTGCATGTGTAAGGATGTCATGGGGTGCATCTGTCACACTTGCTGCATGAAGCTGGGTAGAATTTCTCCTAATATTTAAACCGTGGGAAGCATAACAGTCACGTTTTTAATTAGTGGCATTGGTTAAACCTGAAGAACCCTAGGATCTTTAGTGGTTAAATTATACAACTCTTGAAATGAACGGATCCCAGACAAGTCAGTGCCTTAAAATACTTTATTTGAGCTCATAAAAGCGAGGAGGAATAAATGAATGGTCTTAGAATAACCCCTGATAAAGTTTTTTTCAGGGCTGTTAAGTTATTGGAAAAGCATAAGCTTATGGATGTTCACAGGGAAAAAAATGGGTTTAAAAATTACTGCTAGCATTTTTTAGTTTGTGGATAAAAATACAGAAGTAGTTTACTAGAGTTGGTATTGTTTTTATTTCTTTGTTAATGAAGCCCTTAGAAATGCTGCGTTTTGGCCAGGCATGGTAGCTCATGCATGTAATCCCAGCACTTTGGGAGGCCATGGCAGGAGGATCCTTGAGCTCAGGAGTTGGAGACCAGCCTGGGCAACATGGTGAAATCCCATCTCTACAAAAAATATAAAAATTAGCTGGGTGTGGTGGCATACGCCTGTGGTCCCAGCTACTCAAGAGGGTGAGGTGGGAGATTTGCATGAGCCTGGGAGGCAAATGTTGCATTGATCTAAGATCGTGCCACTGCACTCCAGCCTGGTGACAGTGAGACCATGCCTCAAAAAAAAAAAAGAAGAAAGAAAAATGATTGGGTTTATTAGATCGCAGAAGATGAGGCAGCAGAGAGGACCAATTCCAGGCACCGAGTGTCTTACCCACCTCCATGGCCTTGTTGTAAAGCCTGAAGTTGCTTTGCCCCAGCTCAGTTACTGACATCTTCAGTTTCTAGGCCACAATTTTGTTTCTTAATGGTGTTATAAATTCTCCAACTGGAACAGACCCAGTCACCACAAGGGGAAAAGGAAAGTGGCGCATCAAGTAGATGTTCCTGCAAAATGTAAGATTTCAAAGTTTAGATTTTCATTGCATGTTTGGTAAAGTTTTATATTTTAGAGTAAAGAATTTACATTTTAGAGTAAAGGAGCATGTCAGAGGCTTCTGTTTTATCCAAAGCACTTGGTACTAAAAGTATATTTTAAAACAATCCTTTTTATTAAATTTCTTTTTAACAAGTGAAACTATTTTGACAAATCAGAAAATTAAAAGATCAAATCAGAAATACTGGCTACTGACTGCCTGTAACCATTAAGCTGCCTTAGAAAGGTCAAAATCGCTAATGGTTTCGAATGTTAAATGAACAGTGGATCATGAGGAAAGCGCAGCTCTCTAAGTGCTTTACACCCTCCTTGTTTGGCTCTAAAACTCGCTGCTGTTAGAGACAAGGCACTGACCACACAGGGCTAAGTGGTCCTAGGCCACAAGAAGGGAAAACCCACAAAGTTAAGTTCAGGGAATTCTGAAGGACAGCTGGGAGAGCAAGCACGGAGTGAAAGAGCATATTCCTGTCAGCAGGAGAGAACGTGCCAAGGAGGGTGGTGAGAAAGCAGACGTTATATTCAGGGATACTGGTTCTGTGAACTTAGTAGTTTGAGATTTTCCTAAATATAATGTTTAAAATGTTTGTATATTGGTTATTTTTTCTGTTTGATAAAACTTACTAAGTTTTCCTTTTTGTAGATGAAAGCCAAAAAATTCTAATATGGTGCTTATGTTGTCTGATTAACAAAGAACCACAGAATTCTGGACAATCAAAACTTAACTACTGGATACAGGTAAGAGAGTAAATCTTGCTCTGCACTTCAACTTAAATAGATCATTTAAAAGTGCTGCTTAAAAAATTTTTTAGGGGGGGTCCAGTTCTAAGATGTTTGAGAAACTTTTTCAAACATACCCTTCAGTGTTACATTATCTTGCTGGGTATAAAGTTTTTCAAGAGATTTCAATTTTGCTTGACTGTGAATTCCAAAAGGTATCAGTCCTTAGGGTGAAGGCCTAATGTTGAGTGGTTTTGAAAAGCTTCTTTCAGGTGATTAAAATAATGTATTCTATTTCACTCTAGCAATTGCTATCCTTCAGAAAATTGTTTTACTCTCCCAACCTGCTTTAAATACTTAAGTAATTCCTTTCCACATGCTTCCCTGCCCCTCTCAGAATCTATTTTGCAGTAGAATGAAAATTCAGCAGTGTGGTAGGAGCAGCACTCTATTCTGTGTCCCCAAGTTCGTGCCTGGGCCAGCATACGCACAGACTGGAACTTGGTATTGCGTGGCCTCTCCTGCTGACACTTTCCGGTTGGTTACCTACCACGCTAGTCCAGGTAGCTAACAGCTTCCTAGATTTCCCTGTCTGCTTCTGCTTCTGCTTCCTCCTGAAGGGCAGGCGTAAGGTGGAGATGCGGTCAGGCTGGGCTGCAGCTGCCCTCACTAGCAGCACATTGGCTGTTCTTTTCTCACTGCCTTGCTGCACCAACCCCAGGACTTGCTGATGCATGCCAAACTCCACTTAGTATGCATGTGGTTCAGATTAGTATTATGCTTAGTATTATTAGTATTATGCAATCAGCCAACCAGATTAGTGCATATGGTTTTGTCTATCAGTCTAACTGGTGATATCATTATATTCGCTGCTTTTTACGATTTCTTGGTTTTAGAAAAAATTCCTAATAGAGATAAAGATGGTATTTATATTTTCTGTTAGACTGAAAGAATAGAAGGGAGTGAGGGGAATTGGACAATGGAAGGAAAGAATATAACTTTATTTGGAAGGAAAATTAATGTAAGGAACTGAAGAAAGGAGCAGATAAGTAGAATTAGGGAAGAATGAATGTGTAACAAACAAGGCCATAGAAACAAAATAACATATTTAGTCCTTAATTTTTAAGTGTTGCTTTTGTTATTTGATATTTTAATGAATATTTAGCATATAATTTTATATTAGATAGCTCATTGAGTCCTGAAGTAGGCCATCTAATAAAGTGTTTTTAGGGTGATTAGGTTAACTTTCTTCATTTAACTCATGACTTTATTAGCCTATTTTAAACTGTCTAGTCTCGCATGTTATTCTTTTTTTGTTTAATACTATATCTATTTATTAGTATGTACTTTTAAAGTCTAGTTCATGGAGGTAAAGTTAAAACACTTAATCTGTGCCTTCAGGGAATTCCCGGACTGGTAACCAGGTCCTTCCAGGGCAACATAGTTGGATTATTGCTAGAGCTATGTATAGGTGTGACAGTGACATAGAGGGGAAACTTGCTCAGATGTGGGCGTTTGGAGACATTTCCTGGGGCAGGTGACATGTTAATTGAATTCTGAAGGACAGCTAGGAGAACAAGGATAGAGTTAGGGAGAATATTCCTGTTAGCAGAAACAGACTATGCAAAATATGGTAGTGAGAAAGCAAATGTTGTGTTCAGGGAACTGCAGATGCTTAGGTGTACCCGGAACTTGGGGTTTTGTGGGGTTAGTGATGAAGCATGAAGCCAGAGAGACTGGTAAACACAGGCCTTGCATATGACTATGGAAGGTTTTTATCTTGATTGGTGGTGAGGCAGCCACTAGAGTATTTAAACAGAGCAATCATGGTTGGGTGCGGTGGCTCAAGCCTGTAATCTCAGCGCTTTTGGAGACCAAGGCAGGTAGATCACAAGATCAGGAGATGGAAACCCTCCTGGCTAACATGGTGAAACTGTCTCTACTAAAAACACAAAAAAATTAGCCAGGCGTGGTTGCATGTACCTGTAGTCCCAGCTACTTGGGAGGCTGAGGCAGGAGAATCACTTGAACCTGGAAGGTGAGGTTGCAGTGCGCTGAGATTGCGACCCCGCACTCCAGCCTGGGCAGGAGAGTGAGACTCTGTCTCAAAAAAAAAAAAAAAAAAAAGGAGAAATTATGTGGCCAGTGTGTAAGTTTTAGAGACTTAACAACAAAAGGAAGTTGGTTGAGAAGAGGGCAAGGATAGACGTTGGAAGCTATTGTAGTGATAAGATGAGAAATTGTGGGGGCCTCAAAAAAATGGAGAAGGGGACCTGATTTATAAGATGTTAGTAAGGTAAATACCCAGAAGGTGTAATGGCATGTTAAATGTCGATACCCTTAGGCATAGCTGGAAATCTACAGCGAGAAGGTAAATATCCCATTCTCAGGAGAGCAAGCTGATTTGCTGGCAGGGGGTTGAAAGCTGCCTGTGGGAATAGTGGAAGCCTTTGGTGAGGTGAGGTCCGCCCCCAGAGAATGCTGGGATAGGGGCACAGGGGAACTAGAGAGAGTCTTGGGAGACACTGACCTTAAGGGGAAGTGAAGAATGATTGATGCTTCACAATGCAAAGAGGGGCCCAAGAAGTAGAAGGAGGAAGCAGTGGAGAATGAGTGTTCATTCATGTTTAATGCCATTCATAGCTAATGCAGCACTGTCCAATAGGAATAAAATACATGCTGCATAGATAATGGCAAACTTTCTGGGTGCTGCTTTAAGAAATGTAAAAAGAAATAGTTAAAATTAATTTTAAGAAGATACTGTACTTAGTTCAACATATCCCAAATACCACTGTTTCAACATGTAATCAATATACAAATTACTGATGAGATTATTCATAGTCTTTTTCATGCTGCATCTTTGAAATCCAGTGTGTATGTTACACTAACACTTATATCCACATGTTATATCTTAATTCAGATGCTAAATTTTCTTGGAAATTCTTGATCTGCATTTAAATTTCATAAAATATAGAGTTGAAAAAGTAGATTCACATACCCAAGTTGTTCCTAAGAATCTTATTGAATCAAGTATTGGTGTTTAAATTAAAATTAAAATTTAAAATTCAATTATTTCCTAGTGCTTACTGCTCTGAAGTGCTCTGCAGCCACACGTGGCAGGTGGCCGCGGTGTTGGAGAGGGCAGCTGTGGAGCATAAGGCAGAAGGATCGAGCAGTACTCTTTGGATTTAGCCACTGTGAGCAAAGACTCAGTGAGCAGAGGTTTAGTGAGAGGTGGAGGGAAATAGCCAGATTACTTGAGATTGAGAAATGGTGGGGAGGTGAGGAGGCAGAGTTGATCAACTTTACTCTTTTGAGAAGCTTGACAGTAAAGGAGGGAGGATTTTGGCGATGAAGGAGGCGATAGCCGGACCGGGGTGGGGCTGGCGGAATTGACCAAGTCCTGAGCTTGCTTTGCTCTGGGAAGAATGTGCGGGTAGGGAGCAGGGTAGGACGTGGGAGGTTGGGAAAACAGTTTCCCTCCTCATTTACCAAGCAAGCCTGAACTAAATAACATGAACCGATAAAAGGATGTCTAGGAACATGTTATTTAACTCTTAACAATGATTATTAACATATTAGTTATCTAACTCTTAACAACTCTAAAGCTAATTACATGTGCCCATCACCAATCAGTACGTAATCTCATGTTGACCATAAATGCACCAAGACAGAAGGTAGTCATTGGTTTATAAATCAGTTTACATCTCGGGTATACTTTATTTTATCTTAGAGGAGCTATTTTCCTCATGGATGTTTTAGAGTGACATAGTACATGTTAAAGATGTGTACCCTGTCATTCAGTATCCTTGTGAAAATTATAAAACAGCCATATTTTAAAATGTTTGCTAATTCATTCAGCAAGCATTTATTAAGGCCTGCCAAGTGCTAGGATATTCTAATTGTGGTGATAAAATCTTGGGTCATTCTGTGTTAGCAGAGCATTACAAATATGACTGAAATACCCTGAATCAAAAACCAAGAATTTCTACAGTAAGTTCCAAATGCAGTAAACATTCATATTAATTAATAAATTTGAAAATCGTAAACTAAGTTGTGTTTTTAGCAGAGAGAAGAAATAATTGTTTGACACGACGTGTCAGCATATGTTATGTTGGAAACACATTAATGAAATGTTTGGGAGCTTTACTAACAACCTTGAATGTGCTGTCATAGAGCACCACCTCAACGGCTGTTCTTACAGTTCAGAGACAAAGTTCCAGGACTCTTTCACATATTTTGGGAATATGTGGTCTTGAAAAACATAGTTTTACTGGTGAATCCACTGAACAGATAATTTTGGGGCTCCTACTGTTTGCCAGGTACTACTACAGAGGCTGAGGATATAGCACTGGATCTACAAAGAAGGTCTGTTCACAGATGCTACAATAGAAGGGGAAGGTTTCCAGGGCCTGCCAAATGTCGGGGGACACCTCTTTTCTCTGGCAAAGCCATACCACTATTATTTTTTTATTCTGATGAAAAAAAACAAGCGGGGTTCCAGGAACAGAGATCAAAAGTGTTGTATTCTATCTGTATTCCCTTTTGAAATGCAATACTAAGCAATATCCAGATAGCTTCTGTCCTCTACTTTTAAACAAAAATTTTAAATTAAAAAAAAAATCTAACAAACTTACACAAAATATAAATGCCAAGCTTAACAAATTGTGAAAGATTCTTGTAACCACCACACAGGAAATGGAACACAGCATTGGCTGCTCCTAGACGTGCCTGCCTCCCATGTGCCCCTTGTTGCTTTTATTCCTCCGGCCTCCTCCAGCAGTTACCACTAGCCTGGCTTTTATTTACATTTCCTAATGGTTTTACCACTTAATTATGCCATTTGCCCTATTTTTTAGCTTGTTAGAAATGGAATAATACACTATATATTCTTCTGTGTTTATTTTTGTTCACTGTTATTTTTGTAAGATTCAGTCATGATATTGGGTGTAGTTTGTTCATTTTCATTGTTGTATAATATTCAATTTCATGAACATACCACAATTTATTGATTCTAC